CAGATGGCACTGGGGACGGGGGGGACATGACCCCCCCAGATTTATAGTGACCCGATCCGTCCCCCCCTCACTATCCCTACAAAAGGTGACAAAAATCGGTAAAACAGAGGATTAACCAATGTTTTCGCTATATGTACATTAGCCAAAGTAGAGTGTCCCGGCCCGCCGCTGCTTCAGAATCGGGTCGGGGCAGACGCAGGCTGATCTACACCGGTCACCATTACTTTGTCCACGTTCTCACTACACACTGTTCTGTTGTCAATAAACACACGATGCCTTCATGCCACCGACGTTTACACACTCTCTCTCTCTGTGTGTGTGCTACGACTCCTCCTGAGTGACGTCGCCAGGGTCCTATGAGGAGCTAGTAGCTGCCTTAATCGTGCCTGTAGGAGCGGACCGGTAACCATAGTGATCATATACCATCTATGACTGAGCTGAGTCGGTGATTTTCTGAACTGAACAAAATCGACTGTATAAATGCCACATAAAGGCAATGAAGAGACAGAAAACAATCACCTCGTTTTTTCAAAAAACAAACAATGTAAGTATCCTATGCCTGTTGACTTTCCCAGATGTGGCAGATTAGATTTGTTAAGGGGAATAGCTAGTCTGACAATAAGGCTTTCGCACTTAGCAAAATGTGGAGACCATAACTATGCATTTAGGTGAGTGGACAGAGACAAATAATGAATGAACACAAAAAGAATGGTTGGATAAATCAAACAATTTATCGTCGTCAGGAAATAATGTTTTATCTTATCATTTAACCCATGGTACTGTATAAATTGATGAGGTATGTTCACTGTCGTGTAAACCACTATAAGTAAATTTGTGTGGTGCAAGGTTTATGCAAACAACAAATAAAGGCCTACATAAACTTTTGACATCCTCTTATAGCAGGAAATCATGTTTTTTTTATTGTACGGAGCAACGGAGGATATAGATTCTTAAATTGTGGGCTATGAAAAACATTTCTTAATATGTCATACATCATTTGAAAGATATTTCTAATCTATAAATTGCAATAAAATTGTAATTAACACTTACATTTTTTTTTTTTTAGTTATTCTTAGATATTTTTGAAATATTAGTTTTAGCCATTAATTCTCAGGAATATGTTGTATTTCACATTGATATTCACATTCTATAGAGGTATAGAGGGTTAACTGAAATGATAAGATTCAAACTGTTGTCCTCCTGGCCTCAGGCGATGTCTGATGACAGTAAGGCAGGCCCTAGTCAGTCAAGTGAGGATCTGCAGGAGGGCAGCCACAGTAGAAAATATGTTGTTGTTATTTTATTTTTATTTTTTGCACATAGGTTCTTTGCTTTTTTGTTCATAATGATAGACTTTGTATGCTGAGATAAGCAAATGTTTAAATAAAACATACTTTGCTGAATACATGAAGATTTGGTGGGTGATTGGCATACTATCAGGCCTTTGTTTACCTTTGTTCATTGTTGTTTATCCATGATTTCAAACAAGAATCCCCCAATGGCTTTTTAGTGCAAATCATTAGCCCAAATTACATAAAGAAACTACTTGAGCACTAGTTAAAGCCAAAATTACGCAAAATAACGAATTGAGTTTAAATCATTTGGTGACAGCTTGGTCCCCCCCAGTTAAAAAATCCTATCTGCGCCACTGGCTCAGGTGGAGGTTGAAGAAGAGATGTGTGTGTGTTGTGTAGTGTTGTGTACCGCTCAGGTGGAGGTTGAAGGCCGGGAGCAGGTTGATGAAGAGATGTGTGTGTGTTGTGTAGTGTGTTGTGTAGTGTTGTGTACCGCTCAGGTGGAGGTTGAAGGCCAGGAGCAGGTTGATGAAGAGATGTGTGTTGTGTAGTGTTGTGTAGTGTTGTGTACCGCTCAGGTGGAGGTTGAAGGCCGGGAGCAGGTTGATGAAGAGATGTGTGTGTGTTGTGTAGTGTGTTGTGTAGTGTTGTGTACCGCTCAGGTGGAGGTTGAAGGCCAGGAGCAGGTTGATGAAGAGATGTGTGTGTGTTGTGTAGTGTTGTGTACCGCTCAGGTGGAGGTTGAAGGCCAGGAGCAGGTTGATGAAGAGATGTGTGTGTGTTGTGTAGTGTTGTGTACCGCTCAGGTGGAGGTTGAAGGCCAGGAGCAGGTTGATGAAGAGATGTGTGTGTGTTGTGTAGTGTAGTGTTGTGTACCGCTCAGGTGGAGGTTGAAGGCCGGGAGCAGGTTGATGAAGAGATGTGTGTGTGTTGTGTAGTGTTGTGTACCGCTCAGGTGGAGGTTGAAGGCCAGGAGCAGGTTGATGAAGAGATGTGTGTGTGTTGTGTAGTATTGTGTACCGCTCAGGTGGAGGTTGAAGGCCAGGAGCAGGTTGATGAAGAGATGTGTGTGTGTTGTGTAGTGTTGTGTACCGCTCAGGTGGAGGTTGAAGGCCAGGAGCAGGTTGATGAAGAGATGTGTGTGTGTTGTGTAGTGTTGTGTACCGCTCAGGTGGAGGTTGAAGGCCAGGAGCAGGTTGATGAAGAGATGTGTGTGTGTTGTGTAGTGTAGTGTTGTGTACCGCTCAGGTGGAGGTTGAAGGCCGGGAGCAGGTTGATGAAGAGATGTGTGTGTGTTGTGTAGTGTTGTGTACCGCTCAGGTGGAGGTTGAAGGCCGGGAGCAGGTTGATGAAGAGATGTGTGTGTGTTGTGTAGTGTTGTGTTGTGTAGTGTTGTGTAGTGTAGTGTTGTGTAGTGTTGTGTAGTGTTGTGTAGTGTAGTGTTGTGTAGTGTTGTGTAGTGTTGTGTAGTGTTGTGTAGTGTTGTGTAGTGTTGTGTACCGCTCAGGTGGAGGTTGAAGGCCGGGAGCAGGTTGATGAAGAGATGTGTGTGTGTTGTGTAGTGTTGTGTACCGCTCAGGTGGAGGTTGAAGGCCAGGAGCAGGTTGATGAAGAGATGTGTGTGTGTTGTGTAGTGTTGTGTACCGCTCAGGTGGAGGTTGAAGGCCGGGAGCAGGTTGATGAAGAGATGTGTGTGTGTAGTGTAGTGTTGTGTTGTGTAGTGTAGTGTTGTGTAGTGTTGTGTAGTGTTGTGTAGTGTAGTGTTGTGTAGTGTTGTGTAGTGTTGTGTAGTGTTGTGTAGTGTTGTGTAGTGTTGTGTACCGCTCAGGTGGAGGTTGAAGGCCAGGAGCAGGTTGATGAAGAGATGTGTGTGTGTTGTGTAGTGTAGTGTTGTGTACCGCTCAGGTGGAGGTTGAAGGCCAGGAGCAGGTTGATGAAGAGATGTGTGTGTGTTGTGTAGTGTAGTGTTGTGTACCGCTCAGGTGGAGGTTGAAGGCCGGGAGCAGGTTGATGAAGAGATGTGTGTGTGTTGTGTAGTGTGTTGTGTAGTGTTGTGTACCGCTCAGGTGGAGGTTGAAGGCCAGGAGCAGGTTGATGAAGAGATGTGTGTGTGTTGTGTAGTGTGTTGTGTAGTGTAGTGTAGTGTGTGTTGTGTAGTGTAGTGTAGTGTAGTGTAGTGTTGTGTAGTGTAGTGTTGTGTAGTGTAGTGTAGTGTAGTGTAGTGTGTGTTGTGTAGTGTTGTGTAGTGTAGTGTAGTGTAGTGTAGTGTAGTGTTGTGTACCGCTCAGGTGGAGGTTGAAGGCCAGGAGCAGGTTGATGAAGAGATGTGTGTGTGTTGTGTAGTGTTGTGTACCGCTCAGGTGGAGGTTGAAGGCCAGGAGCAGGTTGATGAAGAGATGTGTGTGTGTTGTGTAGTGTAGTGTTGTGTACCGCTCAGGTGGAGGTTGAAGGCCGGGAGCAGGTTGATGAAGAGATGTGTGTGTGTTGTGTAGTGTTGTGTACCGCTCAGGTGGAGGTTGAAGGCCGGGAGCAGGTTGATGAAGAGATGTGTGTGTGTTGTGTAGTGTTGTGTACCGCTCAGGTGGAGGTTGAAGGCCGGGAGCAGGTTGATGAAGAGATGTGTGTGTGTAGTGTAGTGTTGTGTAGTGTAGTGTTGTGTAGTGTAGTGTTGTGTAGTGTTGTGTAGTGTTGTGTAGTGTAGTGTTGTGTAGTGTTGTGTACCGCTCAGGTGGAGGTTGAAGGCCAGGAGCAGGTTGATGAAGAGATGTGTGTGTGTTGTGTAGTGTAGTGTTGTGTACCGCTCAGGTGGAGGTTGAAGGCCAGGAGCAGGTTGATGAAGAGATGTGTGTGTGTTGTGTAGTGTAGTGTTGTGTACCGCTCAGGTGGAGGTTGAAGGCCGGGAGCAGGTTGATGAAGAGATGTGTGTGTGTTGTGTAGTGTGTTGTGTAGTGTTGTGTACCGCTCAGGTGGAGGTTGAAGGCCAGGAGCAGGTTGATGAAGAGATGTGTGTGTGTTGTGTAGTGTTGTGTACCGCTCAGGTGGAGGTTGAAGGCCGGGAGCAGGTTGATGAAGAGATGTGTGTGTGTTGTGTAGTGTTGTGTACCGCTCAGGTGGAGGTTGAAGGCCGGGAGCAGGTTGATGAAGAGATGTGTGTGTGTTGTGTAGTGTTGTGTACCGCTCAGGTGGAGGTTGAAGGCCAGGAGCAGGTTGATGAAGAGATGTGTGTGTGTTGTGTAGTGTTGTGTAGTGAAGTGTTGTGTACCGCTCAGGTGGAGGTTGAAGGCCGGGAGCAGGTTGATGAAGAGATGTGTGTGTGTTGTGTAGTGTGTTGTGTAGTGTTGTGTACCGCTCAGGTGGAGGTTGAAGGCCAGGAGCAGGTTGATGAAGAGATGTGTGTGTGTTGTGTAGTATTGTGTACCGCTCAGGTGGAGGTTGAAGGCCAGGAGCAGGTTGATGAAGAGATGTGTGTGTGTTGTGTAGTATTGTGTACCGCTCAGGTGGAGGTTGAAGGCCAGGAGCAGGTTGATGAAGAGATGTGTGTGTGTAGTGTAGTGTTGTGTACCGCTCAGGTGGAGGTTGAAGGCCAGGAGCAGGTTGATGAAGAGTTGTGTAGTGTTGTGTAGTGTTGTGTACCGCTCAGGTGGAGGTTGAAGGCCAGGAGCAGGTTGATGAAGAGATGTGTGTGTGTAGTGTAGTGTTGTGTACCGCTCAGGTGGAGGTTGAAGGCCAGGAGCAGGTTGATGAAGAGATCTGGCAGCTGCTCTGTGGCGTCGGAAGGCAAACCATCCTCGATCACATCCAGCAGGAACTGCAGGAACGCGGCGTTCAGATGCTCTGAGACAGAGAGACAGACTCCGTCACACACACTCACACACACACACACACACACACACACACACACACACACACACACACACACACACACACACACACACACACACACACACACACACACACACACACAGCGCCAGCGTCTCTTACCGTAGTGGTGCAGCGGGATCTGCTCGCCCGTGGAGAACACCATGGCCATCAGCAGTGCACCGTAGCACATCTTCTCATGCTCTGCACACACAACACACACATCAGCTGACGAGCAGAGACACGTCATTACTGTAACTGTAGCTGCGTGTGTGTGTGTGTGTGTGTGGACTGACCGTGTGTGTGTGTCTGCAGGTCTCTCGCCAGCTCCATGGTCAGCACAGAGTTGAGGAGTGTGGAGATCAGCGCGGGGTCTAAACCACACATGGCTCCAAACACCTTCAGCAGCAGCAGGCGCAGCGACACGCGGTTCTCCTGAACGACCACACGCGTCAGTGACCCTCACGCAGCTCTCGACACGAGAACCACGACAACTACAACAGTAACTATAACTACAACTGTAGCGATAACTACAACACTAACTATAACAATAACCTTAACTACAACTGTAGCGATAACTACAACACTAACTATAACAATAACCTTAACTACAACTGTAGCGATAACTACAACACTAACTATAACAATAACCTTAACTACAACTGTAGCGATAACTACAACACTAACTATAACAATAACCTTAACTACAACTGTAGCGATAACTACAACACTAACTGTAACAATAACCTTAACTACAACTGTAGCGATAACTACAACACTAACTGTAACAATAACCTTAACTACAACTGTAGCGATAACTACAGCACTAACTATAACTACAACTGTAGCGATAACTACAACACTAACTGTAACAATAACCTTAACTACAACTGTAGCGATAACTACAGCACTAACTATAACTACAACTGTAGCGATAACTACAACACTAACTGTAACAATAACCTTAACTACAACTGTAGCGATAACTACAGCACTAACTGTAACAATAACCTTAACTACAACTGTAGCGATAACTACAGCACTAACTATAACTACAACTGTAGCGATAACTACAACAATAACCTTAACTACAACTGTAGCGATAACTACAACACTAACTATAACAATAACCTTAACTACAACTGTAGCTATAACTACAACACTAACTGTAACAATAACCTTAACTACAACTGTAGCGATAACTACAACACTAACTGTAACAATAACCTTAACTACAACTGTAGCGATAACTACAACACTAACTGTAACAATAACCTTAACTACAACTGTAGCGATAACTACAACACTAACTGTAACAATAACCTTAACTACAACTGTAGCGATAACTACAACACTAACTATAACAATAACCTTAACTACAACTGTAGCGATAACTACAACACTAACTGTAACAATAACCTTAACTACAACTGTAGCGATAACTACAACACTAACTGTAACAATAACCTTAACTACAACTGTAGCGATAACTACAACACTAACTATAACTACAACTGTAGCGATAACTACAACAATAACCTTAACTACAACTGTAGCGATAACTACAGCACTAACTGTAACAATAACCTTAACTACAACTGTAGCGATAACTACAGCACTAACTATAACTACAACTGTAGCGATAACTACAACAATAACCTTAACTACAACTGTAGCGATAACTACAACACTAAATATAACAATAACCTTAACTACAACTGTAGCGATAACTACAGCACTAACTGTAACAATAACCTTAACTACAACTGTAGCGATAACTACAACACTAACTATAACAATAACCTTAACTACAACTGTAGCGATAACTACAACACTAACTATAACAATAACCTTAACTACAACTGTAGCGACAACTACAACACTAACCTTAACTACAACTGTAGCGATAACTACAACACTAACCTTAACTACAACTGTAGCGATAACTACAACACTAACTGTAACAATAACCTTAACTACAACTGTAGCGATAACTACAACACTAACTATAACAATAACCTTAACTACAACTGTAGCGACAACTACAACACTAACTGTAACAATAACCTTAACTACAACTGTAGCGACAACTACAACACTAACTGTAACAATAACCTTAACTACAACTGTAGCGATAACTACAACACTAACTATAACAATAACCTTAACTACAACTGTAGCGATAACTACAACACTAACTATAACAATAACCTTAACTACAACTGTAGCGATAACTACAACACTAACTATAACAATAACCTTAACTACAACTGTAGCGATAACTACAACACTAACTGTAACAATAACCTTAACTACAACTGTAGCGATAACTACAGCACTAACTATAACTACAACTGTAGCGATAACTACAACACTAACTGTAACAATAACCTTAACTACAACTGTAGCGATAACTACAGCACTAACTATAACTACAACTGTAGCGATAACTACAACACTAACTGTAACAATAACCTTAACTACAACTGTAGCGATAACTACAGCACTAACTGTAACAATAACCTTAACTACAACTGTAGCGATAACTACAGCACTAACTATAACTACAACTGTAGCGATAACTACAACAATAACCTTAACTACAACTGTAGCGATAACTACAACACTAAATATAACAATAACCTTAACTACAACTGTAGCGATAACTACAACACTAACTGTAACTATAACCTTAACTACAACTGTAGCGATAACTACAACACTAACTATAACAATAACCTTAACTACAACTGTAGCGATAACTACAACACTAACTATAACAATAACCTTAACTACAACTGTAGCGACAACTACAACACTAACCTTAACTACAACTGTAGCGATAACTACAACACTAACCTTAACTACAACTGTAGCGATAACTACAACACTAACTGTAACAATAACCTTAACTACAACTGTAGCGATAACTACAACACTAACTATAACAATAACCTTAACTACAACTGTAGCGACAACTACAACACTAACTGTAACAATAACCTTAACTACAACTGTAGCGACAACTACAACACTAACTGTAACAATAACCTTAACTACAACTGTAGCGACAACTACAACACTAACTGTAACAATAACCTTAACTACAACTGTAGCGATAACTACAACACTAACCTTAACTACAACTGTAGCGATAACTACAACACTAACTGTAACAATAACCTTAACTACAACTGTAGCGATAACTACAACACTAACCTTAACTACAACTGTAGCGATAACTACAACACTAACCTTAACTACAACTGTAGCGATAACTACAACACTAACTGTAACAATAACCTTAACTACAACTGTAGCGACAACTACAACACTAACTGTAACAATAACCTTAACTACAACTGTAGCGACAACTACAACACTAACTGTAACAATAACCTTAACTACAACTGTAGCGATAACTACAACACTAACCTTAACTACAACTGTAGCGATAACTACAACACTAACTGTAACAATAACCTTAACTACAACTGTAGCGATAACTACAACACTAACTGTAACAATAACCTTAACTACAACTGTAGCGATAACTACAACACTAACTATAACAATAACCTTAACTACAACTGTAGCGACAACTACAACACTAACTGTAACAATAACCTTAACTACAACTGTAGCGATAACTACAACACTAACTATAACAATAACCTTAACTACAACTGTAGCGATAACTACAACACTAACTGTAACAATAACCTTAACTACAACTGTAGCGATAACTACAACACTAACTATAACAATAACCTTAACTACAACTGTAGCGATAACTACAGCACTAACTATAACAATAACCTTAACTACAACTGTAGCGACAACTACAACACTAACTATAACAATAACCTTAACTACAACTGTAGCGATAACTACAACACTAACTGTAACAATAACCTTAACTACAACTGTAGCGATAACTACAGCACTAACTGTAACAATAACCTTAACTACAACTGTAGCGATAACTACAACACTAACTGTAACAATAACCTTAACTACAACTGTAGCGACAACTACAACACTAACTGTAACAATAACCTTAACTACAACTGTAGCGATAACTACAACACTAACTATAACAATAACCTTAACTACAACTGTAGCGATAACTACAACACTAACTGTAACAATAACCTTAACTACAACTGTAGCGATAACTACAACACTAACTATAACAATAACCTTAACTACAACTGTAGCGACAACTACAACACTAACTATAACAATAACCTTAACTACAACTGTAGCGATAACTACAACAATAACCTTAACTACAACTGTAGCGATAACTACAACACTAACTGTAACAATAACCTTAACTACAACTGTAGCGATAACTACAACACTAACTGTAACAATAACCTTAACTACAACTGTAGCGATAACTACAACACTAACTATAACAATAACCTTAACTACAACTGTAGCGACAACTACAACACTAACTATAACAATAACCTTAACTACAACTGTAGCGACAACTACAACACTAACTGTAACAATAACCTTAACTACAACTGTAGCGATAACTACAACACTAACTGTAACAATAACCTTAACTACAACTGTAGCGACAACTACAACACTAACTGTAACAATAACCTTAACTACAACTGTAGCGATAACTACAACACTAACTGTAACAATAACCTTAACTACAACTGTAGCGATAACTACAACACTAACTATAACAATAACCTTAACTACAACTGTAGCTATAACTACAACACTAACTGTAACAATAACCTTAACTACAACTGTAGCGATAACTACAACACTAACTGTAACAATAACCTTAACTACAACTGTAGCGATAACTACAACACTAACTGTAACAATAACCTTAACTACAACTGTAGCGATAACTACAACACTAACTGTAACAATAACCTTAACTACAACTGTAGCGATAACTACAACACTAACTATAACAATAACCTTAACTACAACTGTAGCGATAACTACAACACTAACTGTAACAATAACCTTAACTACAACTGTAGCGATAACTACAGCACTAACTGTAACAATAACCTTAACTACAACTGTAGCGATAACTACAGCACTAACTATAACTACAACTGTAGCGATAACTACAACAATAACCTTAACTACAACTGTAGCGATAACTACAACACTAAATATAACAATAACCTTAACTACAACTGTAGCGATAACTACAACACTAACTGTAACAATAACCTTAACTACAACTGTAGCGATAACTACAACACTAACTATAACAATAACCTTAACTACAACTGTAGCGATAACTACAACACTAACTATAACAATAACCTTAACTACAACTGTAGCGACAACTACAACACTAACTATAACAATAACCTTAACTACAACTGTAGCGATAACTACAACACTAACTATAACTACAACTGTAGCGATAACTACAACACTAACTATAACTACAACTGTAGCGATAACTACAACACTAACTATAACAATAACCTTAACTACAACTGTAGCGATAACTACAACACTAACCTTAACTACAACTGTAGCGACAACTACAACACTAACTGTAACAATAACCTTAACTACAACTATAGCGATAACTACAGCACTAACTATAACTACAACTGTAGCGATAACTACAACACTAACTATAACAATAACCTTAACTACAACTGTAGCGATAACTACAACACTAACCTTAACTACAACTGTAGCGATAACTACAACACTAACTATAACTACAACTGTAGCGATAACTACAACAATAACCTTAACTACAACTGTAGCGACAACTACAACACTAACTATAACAATAACCTTAACTACAACTGTAGCGATAACTACAACACTAACTATAACAATAACCTTAACTACAACTGTAGCGATAACTACAACACTAACTATAACAATAACCTTAACTACAACTGTAGCGATAACTATAACAATAACCTTAACTACAACTGTAGCGATAACTACAACACTAACTATAACAATAACCTTAACTACAACTGTAGCGACAACTACAACACTAACTATAACAATAACCTTAACTACAACTGTAGCGATAACTACAACACTAACTGTAACAATAACCTTAACTACAACTGTAGCGATAACTACAACACTAACTGTAACAATAACCTTAACTACAACTGTAGCGACAACTACAACACTAACTGTAACAATAACCTTAACTACAACTGTAGCGATAACTACAACACTAACTATAACAATAACCTTAACTACAACTGTAGCGATAACTACAACACTAACTATAACAATAACCTTAACTACAACTGTAGCGATAACTACAACACTAACTATAACAATAACCTTAACTACAACTGTAGCGACAACTACAACACTAACTGTAACAATAACCTTAACTACAACTGTAGCGATAACTACAACACTAACTATAACAATAACCTTAACTACAACTGTAGCGATAACTACAACACTAACTATAACAATAACCTTAACTACAACTGTAGCGATAACTACAACACTAACTATAACAATAACCAGGGGTCTCATTTATAAAACTGTGCGTAGGATCCTTACTAAAAGTGTACGTGCGCCCGAAAGCCAAAAATGGCGTACGCTAAAAAATATTCAGACTTATAAAACCGTTCGTACGCCAGAACCTGCGCAAAATTCACTTTATAAATCCTAGTCAGCGGAAGAATGTGCGCACATGCGTCTCCTCCCCGAAATAACCATATATGGAGCTCACAACGCCTAGTTTTACTATGCATATCCACATCTGCATATCATTTGCATATGATTATTCATCCACGTGATACCATGTTTAACGATACAAGATATTAGGAAAATATGAAAAAGTGCTGTCACATTAGGCTACATTAATAAAAATCATAAGCCTATCCTTGCCTTGTTTTTGAATAAATAAATCAAATAGTGTAAAATACATTTCTGAGAAACTTTCTCAATCTCACTGGCCAAATAGTATTTTTAATTTATTATATTTTTAATGGAAACAGATAGATCTTTTGCATTATTTGCACGAAACTATTTTCTCAGACAATCTGCTATTATCATGATAAGCAATTATGTATGTAAAACATTAAAACACAGAATGCCAGAGGAAAAGTGTTCAAAAGCATTGCATCCACAACAAATATTTCTATTTATTGAATATAAAAAATGTTGTAACTTCTCAGTAATGATTTCATGTAGTTTAAGTGTTTAACTCCATTAATGGGAATGGCATATTTAATCTAAATGTTTATATCAAAAGTAAAAGATAGTTTAAATCATTATTTTATTTATTTAAAGTGTCATTGTGAACATGCACTCTATTTATGATTATGACTCATAATAAAGATTTACGGTTTTACTTCATCTGCCGTTAGATAGGCTATATATGCGTCAGTTTCACTAAACGGCCCAACGCGCTCGCTGGCGCGGACATTTAAGAAGGGATGGATATTTGCTTCAAGTGATAGGCTTGGTGAGTGAAATTATATGTGTATTATCTTTCTGTATATGTATCATTTTCTTTAGATTTTCTGTCTAAAAGTGACCAAAAAGACATTTAACTCCAACTCACCATCTGTGTCGCCAATTCCCTTTGTCTCCAGAATGTGCGTACGCACGGCTCAAAGTTTGCTTAAAGGTGCGCACATTCTCCCGTCAAGTTTGTTTTTTATAGATCACAACCTTTGCGTGGAAACTGGCGTACGTACGTTTCCAGCCCCGTTTTGTGCGTACGCACACTTTATAAATGAGACCCCAGATCCGGAACGACAACTACAACACTAACTATAACAATAACCGGAACTACAACTGTAGCGATAACTATAACACTAACTATACCTATAACAATAACTGTAATGATAACTATACCTATAACGATAACAGTAACAATAACTGTAACGATAACTATAATGATAACTATACCTATAACGGTAACAATAACTGTAACGATAACTATAATGATAACTATACCTATAACAATGTAACAATAACTGTAACAATAACTACACCTATAACGATAACATTAATGATAATGCTATCTGTAACGATAACTAAAACAATAACTATACCTATAACAATTACTGTAACAATAAATGTAACAATAACTATACCTATAACAAAAACTGTAATGATAACTGTAACAGTAACTATATCTATTACAATAACTATAACTGTAACGAGAACTATAACAACAACTATAACGATAATTGTAACGATAACTATCCCTATAACGATAAGTACAACAATAACTGTAACTATAACGATAACTATCCCTATAACGATAATTGTAACGATAACTGTAACTATAACTATCCCTATAACTGTAACGATAACTATAACAACAACTACACTTATAACGATAATTATACCTATTACAATAACTATATCTATAACGATATCTATAACATTATATTTATCAGCGTTATAGGTATAGTTATCATTATAGATATCGTTACAGTTATAGGTATCGTGTGAATGGGCCTTAATTATCTCCCATGATGCATCAGCAGGGGACTCACCATCTGATAGTACGACACCAGCGACAGAACCGCCTCGAACTCGTTCACACGACACATCTTCTTACACACCTCAGGATCTGCGTCAGTCTGAAAGAAACGCAGAATTATGATATGAATATAAAATATCCATTCTGCAAACCGCTTGTGCTCTGAAGCGTCGAGGTTTATGATATTAAAGATTAATGCGTGTCACCAGTATCTGCAGTAACTCCTCCAGGTAACACGCGATGAGCGCGTGATCTTCGTACAGCGCCCAGCTGCGCTGCTGAGAGTCGTCACGGTGACGCGCCAGATCCCCGAAGATCACCTGCAGCCGCTGCTCGTCGTGACACACCTGTCCTAGCGGGAGCGCCGACCGCTGATCCTGAGGAGACACCAGCACAGGTGTGGGGGAGGAGCTACCGGCCTTACTCTCCACCAATGACAGCAGCTCCTGCTTACTTACTTTCCTATAACGATAACTATTACAATAGCTGTACGATAACCATACTTATAACGATAACTATACGTATAACAATAACTATACCTATAACGATGTAACGATACCTATAACGATATTTATACCTATAGCAGTAACTATGACAATAACTATTACGATAACATTAACTATAATGTTAATAATATACATGGTAATATAGTATCGCAAACAGTTATTGTCATAGTTATGGGTGTGTTATAGTTATCAGAGTTATAGGTATAGTTATCGTTATAGTTATTGTTACAGTTCAAGGTGTAGTTATCTTTAGAGCTATCGTTATAGAGTTATAGTTATCGTTTGAATTATTGGTATAATTATTGGTATAGTTATCGTTATAGTTATCGTTTGAATTATTGGTATAATTATTGGTATAGTTATCGTTATAGTTATCGTTTGAATTATTGGTATAGTTATTGGTATAGTTATCGTTATAGTTATCGTTAGAATTATCGGTATCGTTATAGATGAGTCCAGGGCTGAGCTATTGAGCTACTAACCTTACTCTCCACCAATGACAGCAGCACCTGCTCCAGGTGAGAAGCCGCTGTCGGCAGGGCGCTCTGCAGGTGTCCCACGACCACGCCCACGGCAACCCGCGACAGCTCGTAACTAAGGTTGGTGTTTTTGCGCACCAGTTCAATCAGCTCCGCTCCGATCGTCGTGGGAACGGCTGAGGACCGGGTGGGGCTACCGAG